TCTTGTCACCCATTATTCTCTATTCCTCTTGAGATTTTTGTTTAAATAAATTGCATCGATAAATTATTTTGAAATCCGCAACGAAGAGAAATCAGAAGTATATTTTAAATTTTTTAATATCATTTTTAGTAAGTTTAATGAGTGGTGATGTTTATTCAATTGGAGTAATCAAAAATAGAAACAGACGAATATCGATCAATTCTTTTAACTTCAATGTTCAATTTTTTACAAATTAAATTAGCAGATTCAATTTTATTTAGAATAAAAATGAAGAAAAAAAAAAGAAACGAAACAGAAGGCAGAGAAGTTAAAATCTTTAGAATGAAAAAATTTAAGATGGTAGAGGGACAACCAACAATAGTTGTGTGAGGCTACATTCAATTTTTGACACTTGGATTTGTGGGTCCATTTGTCATTTTTATCGAGGAATTGACACAGACATACAACTATTATATACAATTGACAACATATATCCAATATTAATTAACAATTAATAGTCCAAAAAAAGAAGAAGCACGTAATAGCCTAAAAGGAATATAACGACTTTTTATAGTTTTTTTTTAAAACCATGTGCAACCAACCAACATTAATTAAGTAGATGTGAGATTATTTTTTCTTCCTTATTTTTAACTCCTATAATTAAGGAAGTTAGCTTTTCAATTTCTTTAAATTCTCAAACTCAACTTTATTATCACTCTATTTTTCAAAAATAAATAAATATTAACAACAGTTTACAACAACTTAAATATATATTTGATTGTAATTTTATAATTTATTTTTTTACCAACCGATAGTAATTAGTTTATTAAAAAATGGTTGCCTACTTTTAGAAATGAAAAAAAGAATATTATTAATTAACCCATTAAAAAAAGGTTATATCAACTTTTAAGGAAGGATTTTTTTAATTCTTTAATTAACTTATCAAAAGACGGCGACTACTTTTTAAGGTAAAATATATATATTATTAGTGCTCAATTAATGTGTATTAATTATCAAATAATTGACAAATAATTAATCAAATAATATAAGAGGCAATGTTTTTTTATTAGAAACTGTAATAACACGTATGCAAAAATTATACAATAATTGAAGTTGCAATTACATAATGTATACATAAAAAAAATCTATATGTATACACAAAAAATTATTCATAGGCAATGTTTTTTATTAGAAACTGTAATAACACGTATGCAAAAATTATACAATAATTGAAGTTGCAATTACATAACGTATTCATCTATGTATTCATTGGTCTGTATTCACCTAATAAATTTGTATACATTTATTCAAATTGAGATTGACATTTATTGGTATACATTGGTTTGTATTCATCAAAATCAACATTCTAATTTTTTTCGAGGATCTTATGAGAACATTCGTTACACATGAAATTGAAAACAAAAATTCCAAATACTATAACCTGAATTTTTGTCTAATTTTTTTAATTTTTTTTTAATTTCACAAATCACGAAATTTCAAAATTAAGTGAAAAAAAAACACTACATAATTATATATTAAAAGAAGATTTTGGGAGATCCAATGGATAAACATACATCTGATTTGCATAAACAAAGTAAATTAAGGAGAATTAAGAAAAAATTAGAAGAGCAACAAATATACATATGAAAAACATTTTAGAATGAAAATAAAAAAAAAGGATTAATAACCTAAATTTTCGCAAAAATAAAATTGAAAAAACTTCAATTCCACAAATGATGAAATTCAACAATTAATTGGACAAGAACAAAATTATATATAAAAGATTATTATTGGAAGTATCCATGAATAAACATATTGTTATATCTGATTTTCGTAAATAAAGTGAATTAAGGAGAAGAATAAAAAATTTGGGAGAGAAACAAATATACGTATAAAAAGAATTCTAGAAAGAAAATAAAGGAGACAAAAAAAAGAAGAAGTCTATTTTAAAATGATTGACAAACAAAAAGGAGAGATAAAAAAGGAATAATAAAATAATAAATTTTACCTTTTCAAGAAAAAAAAGGAGCAATCAAACGTGTTTAGAGAAAAATAAGGGAAATAAAAGTACATTTTTTAAGAAAAAGCAAAATAACTTTTGAATGCCAAATAAATAAAAGAAAGTCATTTTTTGCCAATAAATTAAAACTGAGCTATTTTTTGCCAATAAATTAAAACTGAGCTATTTTTTGCCAATTTAATCTGTAGATTGTCGTGCCATATATTCATTTTTACCTTCCACTCACCACCCCCACTCAGTTCTCCTCATCCGGGCCCCTATTCTTCTTTTTTCCTTTTCTTTACTTTTGTCTTTTTCATTTTTTTTCACAAAATGCAGTTCTTTAAAAATGGAAATGTGAAAGATGATAAAAATATATTTTTTTCTTTTTGTAATTGAAAAAAAGTTAAAACTAAAAGACAATAAATGATATATTAAAGCATGCACTTATATACAAAGAAAATAAATGATATTGATACGATATAATAGAAGTTAATTTATTTTATTTGACTATTTTTTATTCACAAAGTTTCTGAGAATATTTAATCGTAATTAAGTATTAATGAAAATATTAGAATTAGAGATGATTGATTCAGCTAAATTTAAGTAATTTTTAGGTATACGTAGTTAAAAACACTTTTTAAGTGCTTAAGCTGAATTTAGAAATAAAAAAATACAAATATTGAAGCAGAGATAATGTATTTTATTTAAAAAAAATATTGATAAATAACTTATTTGTTGGAATAACTAAAATGTCTTTAAAATTGTTAATATTAAAAAATAAACTTATTATCCAATATTTTTAATAGTATCAAACAAACACAAAACACAAATAATAGTATTAAACTAAGTCAAAACTCAAATTAATTGTGTTTCGTTCGCTTTAGAATATAAATTAATTAGATGCAATTATTTTTAATAAATATAAACTATTTATCTAAATAGCATGCAATAATTAGCAATTTGACTAAAAACATAAACTTCTCCATGACTACTTATTAAAAAATAGAGCTGTCAATATGAACTGACCCACTCCATTTGAGCTAACCCATACAGACTTTGAAATTTGACTGGTCAGATCGGGCTAGCCCATTTTTTGTGTGAGCTAGAAAATGATCGGCCCAACCCACAAGTACATGGGCTACGGGCCAACCCTCTTTTCTTAAAAGTATATTTTTATAATTTTTAAATTAAATTATAATTTAAAAATATTATCATAAATATCGACAAGATAATACTACATGATATTAGTGTTACTACTTGTTAATCAAATCCACAAATAAAATTATCTTTATATAATATGTATTAAGTTTGATTTCAAGTAAAAGCATAAATAGCTAAATAGAAATATTAAGCAAATTGTTTTCCAATGATCATAATAAAACACAAAAACTATGATAATATTCCATAGGCTATAGGGCTATGTAGTGATTCCCTAGAAATTTTAGGGAATTTTTATTTTATATAGTACATATTTTATAAACATAATTTGTATTTAAATTGTAATATTTCAAATTTTAAACAGATTTTGAGTTTAGACTCTTGTTATTTTTAATACTCTATTTTATTTTATTTTTTAATAAATTTTTGTTGGCCCACGGGCCGGCCCTATCCATATTTCTCAAGCTCCACAAATCGGCAGGCTTATTCAGACTGGATTAAAAAATCATTTTCTTAAATGAGCTCCAAAAATCATAGCTCAGCCCTATCAAATCACGGGTTAGGCTAGGCTGGCCCAACGGGCCTAACCCATATTGACGGCTCTATTAAAAAATAACAAGAAACTCATAAATAAAAATAAGAAAAAGAAGACCTTTTTTTCCTTTCTGTTTCGATTTTATTTTGCAAGACAAATCTATAAAATAAAATGAAGTATTTGTACCATGAATTCAATCTAAAATTGATTTTTTTTTTAAAAATTGTATTTGAAAGTTAATTTTATTAATATTATTAGATAGAAGATGAAAAAGAAAAAAGATGTGGGTGGATAAGGGAACTGGGTGGGGTGGCGAGTAGGAGGTAAAAGAGTACAAATACAAATTCAAATGTTAAAAATTGAGTAAAACCTCACACAACTATTGTTGGTTGTGCCTCTACCATCTAATTTTTTTCCATAAAATTAATTTATTTTTTCAATTATTAAGTTGGTACATGGGTGTGGGGTGGGTGGGATTGTTTTCTTTTGTGAAGAGATTAAGGTGGAATTAATTATTTTTTTCAATTATTTAGTTGGTACATGAGTGTGGGGTGGGTGGGTTGTTTTCTTTTGTGAAGAGATTAAGGTGGAATTAATTTTATTTTTCAATTATTAAGTTGGTACATGGGTGTGGGGTGGGTGGGATTGTTTTCTTTTGTGAAGAGATTAAGGTGGAATTAATTATTTTTTCAATTATTTAGTTGGTACATGGGTGTGGGGTGGGTGGGGTTGTTTTCTTTTGTGAAGAGATTAAGGTGGAATTAATTTTATTTTTCAATTATTTAGTTGGTACATGGGTGTGGGGTGGGTGGGGTTATTTTCTTTTGTGAAGAGATTAAGGTGGAATTAGTTTTATTTTTTCAATCATTTAGTTGGTACATGGGTGTGGGGTGGGTGGGTTGTTTTCTTTTTGGGAAGAGATTAAGGTGGAATTAGTTTTATTTTTTCAATTATTTAGTCAATGCATGCCAGGTGTCAATAAATAGGTACTAACTTTTCTAAAAATAAGTAAAAAATAAAAATCAGAAGATATTCATGCGCTTAGTAGCAATGACATATATTTATTTTGTCACATCAGTGTTTTGTGTTTAATAGCATATTTTAAACACAATTTTAAAGAGCTGCATATGACTTAAACATATTTTTAAATAAAATAAAAAATATATTACACACACTATGATGAGAATGTAGTAATATAGTAAAAGAGACGTGGGTTTCTCAAACTAATTAGTACTGCTTTGTATATGAAACTCTTAAAAAAAAAAAAGAATTTAGGAGTGTTTTAGACGTATCTCTTTTATCAATTCAATGAAAAAATAAGCGAAGGCTTAGACAGTCAGCAAAACATTCTTTGTTCTTGAGAAGTTGAGATGAATGCATTGTGGGTTATCTTATCTGCTTCTTTTGTCCTCCTTCTTTCCGTAGCTTCAATTCCTCTTCTCAACAACAATGGAAATTACTTGACATGTACGTACTTACTTATTAATGCTTCTATCACCTTTTTCTTTGTTCAATTTTCAACCATTCAAAATGGATCCTTTTATTAATTTGCAGACTTGCTGAACTGGAGAAGTTCACCATTTTTAAGTGAAGTTGCAGATTTGCTGGTGACAAATGGGACCATTTATACCAGTGATGAAGCTCTCCCTTTTGCTGATTCTATGGCTATTCGTAATGGCAGAATTCTTCGAGTTGGGAATTACTCTTCTATAAAGGTTCTTTTTTTTATTTCTAGTTTTCCTTGACTAAGGCTTTCTGGAGAAACCCTTTTTGTAAAGTCTAAGAATTTGTGTTTGAGTAAGTTATACGCGGATTTTAAGAAAGTAGAGAAATTTTGAATCTTGGTCAAATACGTAAAATATACCAAAATGTCGTTTAATCTTGTGCAGTTGTTAAGAAAAGTTGAGTCATTTTTTTTTGAAACAGGCTGAAAAAGAAAGTATGTTGTAAAGTAAGAAATAAAGAAATTGAATAGGAGGAAGAAGAATCAGATAGTGAGAGATTAGAATCTTAGAGAAGTGTATTCATTTCTCTTGTGTGTTCCTTGACCTCTTCAACATCCCCCTCAAGCTAGGTGAAGTGAAAATGTTTTGGAGTCCAAGTTTAGAGCTAAGATAGTGGTGTTGTATCTAGTGAGTCCTGTGGTTAACAAGTTAGCAGGTTGATCCCTTCTTGGAACGTACTTGGTTGTCACCATCTAAGTTGCTCGGACTCTTCACTTTTGGTGTTGCACCCATGTTGACATGACATGGGTGTGGGTGTGGGATCCCTGTCCGATTTGGTCAACCTATTTTGGGTACTTTGACCAAAATCGAAAGTCCGGACAGTTTTAGTGATTTATGTAATCAATACAAAAGCTAAGGTGAAATTGAAGAAAATGGAATTCTTATAGAAATTTCTATGTCACTCCTTTTCCTTTAATCTCAGTCCAAGATTCTCCTAAAGTTCTCCCCGTAATATCTCATAATTTAGGTTTTATAACTCTACTTTTAGATATTGTAATTATTTTTAGGTGAATCCCTGCATCCGTGTCCATATATGGATCCATATCTCCGATTCTTAAAAATTAGATCATGAAGGATCCGACCTCTAGATCCTCACCCATATCGGACATCCGCATCCGAGTCCGAGCAACGTAGGTCACCATTCCCTGATTGATCTTGTCTCTAATGAAGTGGCAATCAATCTCAGTGTGTTTGGTTCTTTCATGGTACACTGGGTTGGCAACAATTTGCATTGCAGCTTTGCTATCTGTGAATATTTGAACAGGTTGGTTGATCTCCACTTCCAGTTCCTTCATCAGTCCCATCAACCAAACTAATTCAGTGACAGTTGTACCCATGCTCCTATATGCAGATTCTGCAGAGCTTCTAGATACTGTTGGTTCTTTCTTGGATATCCAAGATACCAATGAATCTCCCAATTTCACAAAGTAACCTGAAACAGACTTTCTGGTGTGTGGGCACTGGACATGAAGCCAAATCAACATCACAATAGGCTGTAATATTTGTGTTGTGGTTGTTGGATAAGAGAACACCTTGACCAGGTTGGTTTTTGATGTATCTCACACTCCTTAATGCATCTTCCATGTGAGACTGTTTAGGCTGTTGTAGAAATTGGCGCAGTGTTTGTACTCCAAAGGCTATGTGAGGCCTTGTCATAGTGAGGTATAATAACTTTCCTATCTGCCTCTGGTATGTACTTTGATCAGCTAGAGGATCATGCACTTCTTTTGCTTGTGTGATATTGACATGATCATCATACTGCTTTGTTATGAGCTTAGTATTTGTATCAATAGGTGTGATTGCAGGTTTCGCACCACTGAGTCCTGTTTCAGCAATATGCTCTAGGGAGTATTCCTTTTGATGCATAGTATACCAAGTTAGGATCTAGCAAACTCAATTCCTAGGAAGTACTTTAACGCTCCCAGATCCTTCATCTTGAATGCCTTTTTCAACTCTCCCTTTGTTTCTTCTATACTCTTTAGATTGTCTCCAATTATTAGCATGTCAGCATGTCATCAACATAAATGAGTACAATTACTATTCTAGTTTCTGTTTTCTTGAAGAACAAGGAGTGATCTAACTCACTTTGTTTGAACTGAACTCTCCGTAAGGCCTCATATAGCTTTGTGTTCCACTGTCTTGGTGCTTATTTTTATCCATACAGGGATTTGGTGAGTCTACATACTATCTTCTCCCCCTGGCTGTGAAATCCCTGTGGAAGATCTATATATATCTCATCATGAATATCACCTTGAAGGAAAGCATTAAATACATCCATTTGATGTATTTGCCACTGTTTTTGAGCAGCAATAGTAAGAACAGTCTTCATCTTAACCACAAGAGAAAAAGTTTCTTGGTAGTTTATGCCTTCTTGTTGGCTATATCCTTTAGCCACTAGTCTGGCTTTCAGTCTTTCAACTTCCCCTATGGATTTGTACTTTACTTTGTAAATCCACTTACAACCAATTGGCTTCTTGCCTTTGGGAAGAGGAACACTTTCCATGTATTGTTGCTTTCAAGTGCAAATATTTTTGCTTGTATCGCTTCCATCCATCTAGGATCAACAAAAACTTCAGTAAAGTTCCTTGGTTCAGACGAAATGTTGGACATATTTGTTAAATAGGCTTGATATGATGTAAACAGTCCTTCATAGGAGATGTAGTTGGCCAAAGCATAAGAACCCCCCTGAACATTTAAGGATCCAAACTCTTTCATTCATAAGGGTGGTCTTCTATCCCTAGCTGATCTCCTTTGATCTTAAGCATTTTCCCTTGGTTGGACCAAGGTTCATGTCCTCCTGCTGGTTGTTCAAGATTTTCACCATGCCCCGCAGACTCAAAGTCTACTGCAGGATGAAGTCCACCAGCCTAAGTATCCTGAATCAGCTGTTGAGGAATTGAAGTGGTTTGAGTTCTCCATGGTCTTCTAGATTAGAAAGAGTTACATCTGTAGGTTGAAAGATAGTTGAAGTAGCATCTTGTTTCTTTAGTCTGAATGGAAATACTCCTTTGAATATTACATCATGTTGACAAAAAACATGTTGTTAGTCATATCGCATAGAATATAACCTTTCTGTACATCAGAGTAGCCCATGAAAATAGTAGGTTTGGTTCTTGCTTTCATCTTATCAGTTTCTTGTATAACCTTAACATAACACAGACAACCTATCACTCTAAGATCATTTATAGAAGGTTTCCTACCATGAAATTTTTCAAAAGGAGTTTTGTTGTTAGTAACATAGCTAGGCAACCTATTAATAATATAAGTTGCAGCTTAAACACAACAATCCCAAAATTGCAAGGGAATAACAGCCTGGAACCTGATTGCTCTTGTTATTTCCAGGATGTGTCTATGCTTCTTCTCAGCAACACCATTTTGCTGACGAGTATAGACACATGTTGTTTGGTGTATGATTCCTAAGGATGTGAACAGGTTTGTACAAACAGAATTGACAAACTCAGTTCCATTGTCAATCCGGACTATCTTGACTTTTCTATTAAACTGAGTATTTACATAGGTGAGGAACTGTTTAAGAATTACACACACATCAGACTTCACTTTTAGTAAGAAAGTCCAAGTCATTCTAGAATAATCATCAACAATTGTTAAGAAAAACTTATTTCATCAAAAGTAGCTTCTTTATAGGGACCCCAAAGATCCATATGAATTAAATCAAATGTGGAAGAGCATACTGCTAACAGGAAAAGAGAGTCTAGCTAGTTTTGCACATGGACAAATTTGGCAATTATTCACAATTTCATTAATATCTTCAGCCTTTACAACTAAGATCTTCTTAAGAACAGTAGAGGTTGTGAGAAATATTGGAGAAGAATATTATTGAATTGTGTATCTACATTAATACACAAAGACCCTATTTATAGACACTACAATACAATCTTTTACCAAGTAGGATACTATTTACTTATGTTGCTCGGCCTCTTCAAAAATGTCAGCGAGTGCGTGTCGGAATCTCCAAAAGTAGTGTATTTTTGGAGAATCTGACACGGGTGTGGCAACGAAAGTGAAGAGTCCACACAACTTAGCTATTTCCTATTCCTATTCCTATGATTGTTCCTATTCCTATTCCTATTCTAAGTAGGATTGTATATATCTATTCCTATTTTAACATTCCCCTTCAAGCTAGTGCATACAAGTCATATGTACCTAGCTTGTTACAAATGTAAAAATGTAATTAATACGAGGAACGATGAGGGGCTTGGTGAGATATCTGCATGTTGATCACTTGACTTCACAAAATTGGTAGTCAATCTCAATGTGCTTAGTCTTCTCATGAAATATAGGATTTGATGCATAATGTCAGTCAATCTCAATGTGCTTGGTCTTCTCATGAAATACTGATTTGATGCATAATGTCGATAAAAAACATAGTGATAAATTCCCGAATTATAGTTTTGAACTTCCCAAGCCAAGCTTTAGAAGACTGTTTTAGACCATAGAGTGACTTACACAATCGACATACAAGGCTACCAGCCTCCTCCTGTGCAACAAAACCAGGTGGTTGCTCCGTATCACTTTTTTTTTTTTTGCAAAAATAAATCTGAAACAGAAAGTGCTCGAAATTTGATATAAAATATATGGATCGTCTCGAAATCAAGGGATTAGTAGATCTTAAACAAGAAAGTCACCGTAAAATTGGCCAAAACATGCTCATGTGATAGATTACTAGATTTGATGGTTGTAAGCAGGGGCGTAGCTATAGCCACCGCAGGGTGTCCAGTTCGTCGGAAAATTACATTATATATATATGTCAAATTCTACATTTAAAGGATATATATTTAAAGTTGGACACCCTTGACAAAAGTTATGCCTTTGGCGTAGTGGTAATGAGTGTCCATTTGAATGAAGGAGTTCCAAGTTTGAACCCCAAATAGCACAATATTTTCTTATTTTATTTTGACAGCCACACACCATTATTCTTGGACACCCTTGATAAAATTTCTGGCTTCGCCACTAGCTAAAAGTGGTCACAATGAGAAATAAAATTATATGGGTAGGGTCGGAATGACAACACGACCCAATTGGAAAATAGAAATTGCATAGATAGGGTTGAATTGATGTTATGATCCTACTGAAAAAGAGAAATTATATTGGTATGGTCGGAATGATGGCATGACCCTACTCAAATAAGAAAGTAGTCACTGAAAAGATGGCATGGTGTTACACAAATTGAATATGAGAAAGTAGTCACT